CCCAGAACTCCCTCTCTGGGCTCCAGAGTTACAGCAAAGAAGAGCAACCCTCCTTCTCATCTCAATTCTTTCCCTTTTGGCTCAGCTGTGGAACTGGCTTCAAGGGGAGAGCAGATAGAAGGTGCTGTCAGCCATGTCCTCTTGGTTTGGCAGGTAAGGCATCCTGCTGGGACATGAGAGCGGTGTATTCAATGCCCCAAAGTTGAGGAGGGTTGAGAATCCAGGTCAATTATGTCATCTGCCCCCAGAAATCTTTCCTGCCCAAGCACAGGGGGCCTGGACCTGATGATCTTGAGAGATCCCTTCCAGCCCATAACATCTATGAATCTATATATAAGCGAGTGCTTTTACCACTAGGATATTTACAGATATCCCCTGCTGCCATGATCACTCAAGTTCCCCAGCTGAAATGAATGAAGAGCCATACACCTCAAGGCTCTGTCTCTGGAGGTTTCTAAGTGCCCTACATTGAAATGAATGGAAGTATGGTTCTGCAGAACAAAGCAGAGTTTACCTCCAGGGGTATGTTCAATGCACACTGGTTTTATACACAATACAGGAGAAATATGTATCGGCAGAGCCAAGAGCCTGTGTTTTAGCAATGAAAACTGACTGATTGGGGTATTCACCCCAGAAGCTGAGGACCCAGGTTCTAGCCACCGTCCCCTTTCCCCCCACACCAAAAAAAGGGGTTTTGAAGCATCATCTCTAACTTCCTAGCCATGCTAGAAGTTAGGTATATCCAGACCCCTCTCTGATACTCCTTCTGAAACAGCTTACTTTATTTACCCCAGCTTGACTTTTACACCATAGCTTTTTCATCTAAACTAACAAAACTCATTGCAAATGTAAATGTTGATTTGACATATCTTCATGGCTTGTTCGGTGTTTCTCTTTTATCTGATTATGGCCCTATTACATAATGTATAAAATACATACATACATACATACCTACTTACACATGCATGTATGCACTTTATGCATTATGTAATAGGGCCATGATAAGATGAAGTACAAACACTGAATATACCATGAAGATATGGCAAATCAACATTCACATTTGGAAAGAGTTTTGTTAGCTTTAGATGAAAAAACTATAGTGTAGAAGTGAAATTGGGTGTAAATGATTATATCATTGGATGTAAATGTTGATTTGCCATACCTTCATGGTGTCAGAATTATTTACGTCACCTTCACTTGTGATTTCTATATTGAACCTTTTAAAGGTTAAGACTATGAACACATCTGCTCCTGTACTGCACTTAGGAAGCTTAGCTAAAGTTCACACCCTGTGAATTAAAATAGAACTTTTTTTATTATTTATTTAAAGAAAAGCTTGCTCATTGGCCTAAATCTTCTCTCCTCATTTCTATGTCAAAGACAAAACTTTCACTGACTTAAGCAGAGGCAAAGTTAGACCACAGATAAGCACTCTGAAAAAATCCTATCCTAAGTATGCATAGTTTTGGATTGCACTTTTTATACCGTGTAGCTAGACAAATGCATGTACTATAACATAACTGCGCAGCTAAAGAAAAGCTTGTTAAAAAAACCCTTTCGTGGAAAACCATAAAGGAGGTGCCCAAAAGATGAAATGGCTTTGTAGTCAGTGGTGTTCTACTTGTTTTACTAGCATTAGATTTGACCAGAAGTTGGAGCTACTTTTACAAAAGCATTACAATCAAGAATGCTGAGCCACAGATCGGTAATAATTCCACAGTCAGACTATCTCCTTTTTCAAAGTTTTATAAATTGAACTATTTATTTCAAGGGCTGGCTTGATTGATGAGGGTCTCTTGAATATTCAGACTCCTTGGAAAACATCCTCACCTTACCTGCATATGCAAAATAAGCATATCTATATGGTTTTTCATGCCCAAATCAAAGTTCCCACGTGCATTTGTAAACATGAACCATTGCACACTTTGGCATTTAAGTGTCTAATTCTGTCTTCAGGGTAGTTGATTTCCTTGTTTGTAGTTTTAGCAGCGAGGCAAAGGGCTGAATGAGCCATGATGAAAGAGTTACCCTTTCTCTCCCCTGGAAAGTGTCATCAGAGTTGTGTAGCGATTCATATAACACTGATGTCTTTTCCTGAACCTTCTCAGTAAATCACAGTATCCAGGATTGAGAACATCTTTCACAGAATTAGGTGACAGGTAGATTCTGATGCTAATATTTATGTTAATACTCATGGAGAAATACTCATGGTCTCATTCACTAACCAAGGAAAAAAAATTCCATACTTCTCAACCAAGGTTATGAAATGCCTGCCTTCCCTATATATACTGCAACACTAGCCCAGTTTTTAACCCTTCCTAAATGATTGAAACTTTGTGTCAAATGTTGAAAGTCTGCTGTAAACTTACATTTTTGAACGTTAAATTTAATAGTAAGCTTTAAAAAAGAGCACAGGAAAATAACACAAGTCAAAATGCATCAGCATTTCTGTGAACCTTTATGAACTTTTGTTAATCAGAGGAGTGTCATTGGCACTTGCTTTTCCATGTCTCATGTAAGAAATAAAACAATTTGTAAACATGGATGACATGGGAATATACAACTTTTTTTGGCTGTATGAGAATACGCACTTCATTAGCCTTTTTCTGCATTTTTTCCCTAGGGGGTGGGAGGCGGCATTAATGCCCAGATACACTATTCAGCAAATTTTTCTTTTACCTTTGAGGAGTTTTCACTGGTGGAGAAACTATGGCATTAAATGAGGGAACTAGCAAAATGCTAACTGTCAAAAAATCACCAGGTGCCAATGCCTTGTCTCACACTTTCTTTGATTAGGGAAGATTACTGTTAAAGTAGTAGAAGGTCAATACACTTCAGAAAGGATGTGGACAGTTTGGAAAGAGTCTAGTGCAAAACAACAAAAATGATTAGGGGCCTGAGACAAGACCTATGAGGAAAGGTGGAAAGAACAAGAGTTATGTAGTCTAGAGTAGAGGAGACTGAGGGAGAATTTGATAACAGTCTTCAAATACCTGAAGGGTGATTACAGAGCACATGGAGATGAGCTTTAGGGGCCATAGGGAATAGCACTAGGAACAACAGCCTCAAACTTCAGTAGGGGGGATCTAAATTGGGGATTAGGAAAAATTTTCTGGCTTTGCAGGTGGCCAAGCATTGGAACAGGCTACACAGGGAAAAGGTGGAATCTCCATCGTTGTAAATGTAACCGGGCACAAGAGGCTCCTGTTACACAAAGGACACACACCTGCCTAGACTGGCGCTGGCTGGGTAAACAAGTCACTAAGACAAAAGAGCTTGTAATCAGAGTAAATAGAGCCCAGGCAGGGGATGTTGTCTTGTGGAGAGGAAAGTAGTTAATTAAGGAGCTGCAGGAAGGACTCACAGCTGGGACTGATGGGTTCCCCAGCCAGGAGTTAATGAGGATCTGAGGCAGCAGCAGTAAGCTGCCCAGAAGTTAAGCCAGCAAGCCCGCTTAGGGAAGGCCTGTGGACAGCTCCAGGGAAGTCACCTGACTGAAAAGTGGCAGTGTCTGGAAGACGTATGAATCCAGAGCTTGAGCCAGGGTGGACAATCAAGCCACAAAGGCTGCTAGGATAGGAGGTATGGATGAAAATGGCTGTGGCTTGAGCTACTAACGGGGACAATGCAGTGATGGGGACTGTGAGTAGGGGCTGAAAGCTCACAAGGAGCTAAGCCCCAGGATGAGAAGTGATTTGGTTATGCTTCCATTGTGCTTAGAGCTTTTGTTTTAGCCAGTCATTCTTTTGGCGTGGCTATCACCAGTGGTTTCGGTTTGGGATTACTGCAGAGATGGAGGTCCCAACTATGCCTGAGGGGCATATGATTGCTTTGAGCCTGGCAAGGGGTGGAACTTAAATAGCAAGCGTAGTAGAGAAAGGGCCAGAGGTCCAGTTCCTAAGCTGGGTAAGAACCAGGGTCAGAGACCCACAGCCTGAGAAAAGTTAAGCAAATGTCCAGGAGAATTGAGACCTAAGGTCAGGAGCTCATAGCCCTAGAGGGGTGAGACTAGAGCCCTGGAAGCATGAGACTAGAGCTGGGATGGATAAGATGAGGGCTGGAGCCTAGAAGCCAAGTCTGGTATTGTGGACTTAGGCTAGAAGACCCAGTAAAAGAAAAGGGACAGAAGGTGGGAAGGCTGAGGCCCCAACAAGGGAGAGTGACAAAGTAGTAACACTTGTGAGGCGTGGGCACAGATGTAGGGGAGGTCAGAGGCCATGAGTAACCCATGAGGCATCTGGTTCCCTAGGGCAGCATGTACAGGCCAGGAAGGGTCACCTTTGAGTAAAAGCAGGATTGAGATCTGTAGGGTCTGAGAGGGGTCCATGGTCAGGCAGATGGAGTAAGTCCCACTCTAGGGCTCCAGGGGCAGCTTCCTATTTCTTTTCCTATTTCTTCCTATTTCAAGTATTCGAACTAAGATGTAGCAGGTGAGAAGAAAGGAGGCCACCCTTGAGCAGGCATCAAGCAAGATCCACAAGGTCACCAAATGGCATCACGGCCACCCCTGGGACTCAGTCCTGTTACAGTAAGTTTTCAAGAGCTGGTTAGGCAAAGACAATGCATCTAAGCTAGATGGAAAGACTACTTTGAGACATTTCTGTACTGTAAGTTGACTGTAGTGGAATACCAGCACCAAATCCATCCCTGAACACCTTTTTCTTTCAGGCAAAAGGGGATCCCTCACCAACCATTCTAACCTAGATGTTTGGCAATGCCTTCAAGGAAATCAAGAACAGCAAGTCAAACTGGATGTCAGCATTGTATCTGTGGGATTATAGACTATATTGTCTCTTAATAAATGCCAGTGCTTCACAACAACGCAGTTGAATAAAATTGAACACAAATTCAATCTGAATAAATTTGAATTGAATAAACATGAACCCTGAGGTCTTTAAATGAAGGCTACTAAACATGAGGGATTTCAAGACGTATTGATTCTTTCCAGGGAGAATGTCGTCATCATCAGCAATCCCTCAATTCGAGAATGATCTCTGCTATGGCCCACTGATGTATCTTGAGGTGATTTGAGTCCAATTCTTGATCCAGAGGCCTGTCCACAGAAGTTGTTGGTATTTCTGCAAGCCAAAATGTCTTTTCTGTTTCCTTCCTCCACTCTTTCTTCTCTGCTTCTAGGTCAAGACACTTTACTTCAAAAAGGCCTGCCACTTCTTTAGGGTTGTGGTGCCATTGGAGTCAGTCAGCAGCCAGCTTGAGGTTTGTCTTCAATGTGTCCTTGTAGCATTTCCTCTGACCACTGTGAGGGAGTAGAGGAGTTGTTTTGGGAGTTGAGAATCAGGCATCCACACACAAAGTCTAGTAAAGTTGGTGCTTGTGGACCACTGTCTGGTGGTAACACTGGCTTCAGCAAGGAAGTTGGCATTTGTGTGGTGATCTTTCCATCTGCTGTGGAGGATTTTCTGAAGGCATTGTGGATGATACCTCTCCAGCTTTTTTAGATGACTATGGTAGGTCACCCATGTTTCACATCCATAGAAAAGAGTGGGGCTGAAGACTGCTTATCAACCTAGGTTCACAGATATCATGGTTATAAATATAACATTTAGTCTATATATGTTTTCTAGTGAAACTTGGTACCCATTGGATCTGTGCTTGACAGCCAAACATTGACAGGTCTACAGCTGTCCTGATTCGTACATTCATAGAATCCTAACTATTCAAGATAAAAAAAAAAACAACCTGCTCAAGATAACATGCTGTGTTTTCCTTCAAACCATTCTCCATTCCTTTCTTCAGCAAAATTTTAAATGACCAAAGTGAGCCAGCCTCCATTATTTCCCTGAGTCAGAATGTCAAAATTAAGGGAGTTAGGCTGTCAGTGGATATTTAAAAAAGAAACCTGGCAAAATTACTGAGATAGAAAGGAAGGATGCCCTTCAGTTCAGCTCAGTTCTGGGTTAAACTACCGGCTTACTGTCTAACCTGGAACAGTAGAAACTTCATTAGTTCAGACCTTTAAAAGCAGGCTGAATAAACTGTTAGCAAAAATCCTGTAACAACAAGGACTAAGCAACTTGGTAGGTTGCTCCCATCTCTAAGTGTTCTTCACTCTTTCACCTGAATTAAAGAGAGATTCAGTCACTGAGGCTTGTATCCAGTATGTTTTTTAACTTCATTGCTCTCTTCTAACGTGGTATGATATCACATTCAGTATAAAACCAGCAATGGCATGTCTAGAAAGAGCCATAATTATTCAGCTTCTGGAGATGAGAAATATTAACTTATCTCTGCATTTCTTCCATTTTATTACATGCAACACATAACATCTTATTAATGAAAATGTTATTATCACATACAAAGAAAAAAAAAAACACTTCTATTTAAAACACATTACTTAGGACGGGGAAGCAGAAAACCAGGGGACATCATCAGAAACTACCAAGGTAAATATCTTGAAACCAGTTAGCTGAAAATGGAGTATTCAGTGGCCACAAAAGTATCAATTCAGGTGTATAAATATTCTTAAAACATATATTAAACAAATGCACCAAATAGTCACATCCAGAGCAAGAAGTGAGACATGGCTCATTTCAAGGAGAATATGAGAAGATATGGGAGATTATGGACAGGATACTTTGTTGCATGTAAGAATCAATGAGCTAAGCAGTTAATATATTATTGGTGTCATGAATGAAAAGTTCAATCTTCAGGGGGATGGAGGATTAAATAAAAAAACGGAAGGAAAATGCATTAGGAATTATATACTCTAATATCTTGAACTATGAGAATCAATAAGGTACTATTCTGGTGATGTGGACAACAGTTCAAGCATTAGCGAGGCCCCATCCTAACAGTGAGTGAATTAAAACAAGGCTTGTTAGAGAGAAATTAATAGAGGGAACTAATAAACAGCAGAAGAATGAATGCAGTGAGAGGACAGTGAGAAGTCTGAAACCTATTGGGGAGTGGGTGTGAAACATGGCTAAGTGATAAAAAGGGTCATCTAGCATGCTGAGATGGCAAAAAGTGGTCTGAGAATAGGAAGCTAATGAATACTGTAGATCACACAGGATAAGAAGATAAATGGAGGGGTGATAATACAGGCAGCCAGGGAGAGCATTAGCATAAAGAGGTGATAATAGTATGCAACTGGGAAAGGAAACTGTAAAAATCTGAAGATAAATCTGATGATAAACAAGCACCAATATACCCAACTAGAAAGAAAAGCGGGAAAGAAATAAAGTTGCACGAACATTTTCTTGAACAGACTTCTGAGAGGAGTTACGATAAAAGGAAAGCATTTTGTAAGTAATGTAACGTACCCAGATTCAACTGTGGTATAAATACCTGCAACTATTCATTTCATTTGATGGAAATTATGGCTGATTACGTTGGTGTATGAGGCAATCATTTTTACTCCAGATTTAAGCCATTGCTACTAAAAGCAGAATTTAGCCCCGACCTCATTGCAATGCAATTGCCCAGTTGGTTACAACTGTTAATCCTGGCTGCCTTTGGCTTTGAATGATAATTTTCTGTAGTGGGTTTCTTACTACAGATTCCTTCTATAACTGACTTTATAAAGTACACTCACCCCTGCATACTAACATAAAAAATCATGTTAGAGACTGATGGACCATTAGTTTAAACAAGAGCGGCATGAATCAGACCATTGCACAAACAAAGCTGGTTCAAGTTTGGATGATTAGAAAACACTTTCCCTCCAGTTATATTCAGTTTCTTCTTAAAGACAGAAGATGAAACAAAACACATGTGAATTTCTTGCTGGGTTTCTGGTTGTAGCCGTGTTGGTCTAAGGACATAGGCAGGTAAGGTTCTTTGGTACATGTGATATATTTTATTAGACCAACTGAGTAGTTGGAAAAAAAGCTCTTAGCAAGCTTTTGGGCACAAAGGATGATTGCACCCAAAATCTTGCTAAGAACCTTTTTTCCCAACTACTCACTTGGTGTACTAAAAGATATCAAACACATCTACTCAAATAATCTTGCCTGTGAATATCTTGAAACTCTCATTGAAGTAACCTATCAGAACTTCACAGAATCAATCCTGGTAGTACCTTGGAAGGGTGATTCAGTACCACTGCCTCTTTTTTGGAAGATGGGGGATCTGAGTCATGGAGAGGTGAAATGACCTCTGATGAGACAGTAGCAGAGTAAATACTAGATTTCAGGCATTCCTCACTCCTAGCCTTGAACTTAATCCCATGAATCCAACTACCTCACTGAAGATGGCAGTGAAAGATGAACTGCATCGTGTAGAGATTCAGTCAAGTAAAGTTAAGAGGGATGTTTCAAAATGCACAGCAGTGGCCTACCTCTGCTTCCACTGAAGTCAACTGATAAAACTTTCCCCATTAAAATCATGGTAAAATTCCCATTGACTTCAGAGTTAGGTCAAACCTGAAACCTTAAAAAAATTCCTCCCTGCAGATCTTGTATGAACCTCCCAGTTCTTCAAAAACGGAGTGAGAAATCTTTTGCTAACAGACAGTAAAAGATACTCTTTAAAAAGTTTCTGCTACTTATTCTTTGCAATTGCTCAGCAAGATAGTAGCTTTGGGGATACTTTCCCCCCCTAAAAATAGTATTTAGGATCATCAAGTTGAAGACATAAACAGTGGAAGTTCTGGAGTGCCTGGGCACCTAACTCCTGTGGGCTTCAAATTAATTTCTGGTGCAACAGAATTAATGCAATTTTGTCATCAGTGAACCCACCCTCCTCTTCCAACAATTTTCATATGCTCAAATAAGTTCCCATT